TTCTTGTGATTGAGACCTAAGGATAAAGTTAAAGATTTAAGGAATTTTTCTCTGTATTCAACAGACATTCTTCAAACATGTAGACAAACACATTGTTGATAATATACCTAAAAGCTGTCAGTGTAAATTAACTGAAGAAAGGTGTATAATTATTATATGCTAAGAGCAACCCTAAGGTAGATAGTGCTATCATCTGGTTTTTAACAGGTGAGGATACTGATATGTTCAGAGATAGATATAACAAGCCACCAAAAGTCATGGAATTTTATTTTTTATTTTATTTTTTTTTTTTTTTGTAGATTTACTCAGATATCTCTTTTTTTTTTTAAATTTTTTTTTTAATTTTATTTAAGGAGAAAAGAAAAAAAAGCAGAGAAAGGGTACAAGTTATACAGATTTGCAGAAAAAAAATGAACAGTAGGAAATTACTAGTTAATGGATTACATATTGTCATCTTAGAAATAATTGTTCAAGTCACAAAATTAAAGCTTGTAAAGTGGACATTCCATCAATGATACTGCAAACAGTTCTGTTCAATGATCCAATAAAACTCTGTGATATCATTTTCTATCTTATACACTTAAATATACATGCAGTTATATAGTACAGAGCACTTTCTTTTCCTCTCTTTTGTACAATGACTATTACACATTTTGGGTTTCATTGCTCCCATGGTTCTTATTACTTTTTTGGAAGAGAGTAAAACCAAATGTGACATAACAGAACAGAATCGGTCAAGTCAAAAGGGTGGACATAATAGATAATGTGAAAACATAATACAAGGTGATCAACAATGGTTACCATAATGCCTCCCGCTATCTCAAATAGAATTGCCTATATTGTTAGTTACAATACAATTGAACAAAACTGTAAAGAATAAAACCGAAAAAACCAAAACATTGGAGACATTGTAGGTCTTCAAAAATAGATAAAAGTCAATGAGAATGGGCGTTATAATGAATCTCATTATCTTCACAGCTGATGCCTAAATTTTCGAACCTGATACTATCTAGCAAAACAGAATGGGGGAACATCAGTTAAAAACCAGATGGTGAGAGTAATACAGGGCTTTAAATCGAGGTAATGGAAAGTCAAAGTGGGTTACTATAATATATCCTGCTATTTTTTTCCTTTAATTAAAAGGATAAAAATAAAAAAGTAAATAATGGAGTGGAGATTGAGATAAAAGAGGGCATAACAACGAAACAGCACAGATCAAAACATAACCATTTAAGCAGAATAGTGTTTCACCACCAGATAATCCTGACCTAAAAGTAGTTACCATATTATCTCTTTCCTTGAAATCCTTGAGTACAACTTCGTATACTGTAGCATTAAGTATATCAAAACAATGTAAAACCATTCAAGAGAATGACAGCATTACAGAGTATTTAGAATCGACTAACAGAAAATGAACAATGGTTTCTGTATAATCTCCTTGTCTTTAAAAGGTTTTTGCTTATACTATCATACATAATAAAATCCAGTAAGATACAACCTATTTGGACCATTGGAGACAGAAGGACAAAAGCTAGATGAGACTTCAAAACAAGATGATACTAAATCAGTATTACCTATTAAGATGTCATTTTCTCCAAAATAGCTGTTCCTATCATCCAATCTTCTCTGCCTCATTTCTGTTGAGCTCTTATTCTGTCAGTAGCTGTCAGTTTGTCTTCTTCACTTTGTTCTCTGCTCCATTCGTTGTGGCCTCCATTATTTCTGGATTCTTTGTATTTTTCTTTTTTTAGAATATCCTGCAATACTCTCTGTAGAGTTGAATTGGTGGTTGCAAATTCCCCCAGTTCCTCTTTATCCTGGAAGCACCTTGTTTTTCCATCAATTTCGAGGGACAGTTGTGCAGGATATCTCAATCTTGGCTGGAGATTATTATCTTTCAAAGCTTGAATTATTTCCCCCCAAGCTCTTCGTGATTTGATGGTTTGTGCAGAGAAATCTGCTGTAATTCTGATGGGTGCTCCCTTGTAAGTGGTCTGCTTCTTGTCTCTGACAGCTTTTAATATTCTGTTCTTGTATTGAATTTCTGGAATTTTTATTATTATATGCCTGGGTGTTGCTCTGTTTGGGTTGTAGGTAGCTGGGGTCCTGTATGCCTCATACATCTGAGTATCTTTACCTTTTGCTAAATTAGGAAAATTCTCCTGGATTATTTCTGTGAGTAGCTTTTGTAGTTCATTTGTTTGTGTCCCTACTTCTTCTTTTATGTTCTTAATCCTTAAGTTATGGCTCCTCTTATCATCTTCTTGTCTTTGTATTATTGCTGTTTGTTTCTTTGTTATTTTTAAGAAGTTTTTCATTTCATTCTCCCATATTACAATTCTGCCCTCCAGTTCAGATAGTCTGTCCTTAGTTTCTTTCAAGCTGTTATGCCAGTCTTCGATAGACTTCTTAGTTTCTTGGTAGTCCCTTTGAACCTGCTTCACGTATTCTATGCTTTCCCTGTTTTCTCCATCAAACACTTCTCCCCTCTTTTTCTGTTCTTCCATTCCACCATCTGTTTTTTCTTGGGTGGTGCTTAGTATTTCTCTAACTATTTTGCATACTTCTAGCTTCAGGTCGTTGATAACTTCATTCCTGAATTGGTCTATGAGGCTCTCTATATGGCGCCTTATGTGTAATGGTGCGGTGTCTGTTATTGCCTGTTTCTCAGAATTGGGGGCCGAGGAGCCTTTCTTGTTGCTGCCTCTTCCCATATTCTCTGTTCCTTATATATGCAAGCTTATATGAGAGGCCTAGCTTCTCTCTCTGTCAGCCACAGCCTGATCGAACCGCACCGGTTAGGTGTTTCCACTCACTGCTGCACACCAGGCAGCCTACGCGGGGGCCCGCCCCTCCCGGCCTCCGTCAGGCTCTGCGATCTGGGTTGGGCCAGCCTACGGGGTCCGCCGGCAGCGTCACGCAGGCCAGGCACTTTTCACCAATCCCGCCCGACAGGGGAATGTGTGGCTGGAGTCGCCAGCGCGCCCTGCTCCCGCAGGACTGCCCGGGCCCAGAAAGTCCGCTGGAGTCAAACTGTGGTGGAGTGTCAGTTTCTCTCACTCACCTCGCCACAAGTCAGAACATGCCTCCCTGCCTGTCCTGTTTTCGACTCCGTTCACAGACTCCCGTTCTCAGAGTTTCCGTGCGTCTCTCTCCTTGCCGAGCCGACGTAGAGGCAGCCAGCCAACGCGCGGCGGGAAACCCAAATGGCGTGGGGTTCAGCCTCAGCAGCGAGGCTTTTCTGTTCCTGTTTTAGCACCAGGACTGCATTCCAAGTTGGTTTCTCTCAGCCGAGTTCGTTCCTGAGTCAGCAGAGCATAACTCCACCTGCTTATGTCTCTTTAGTCCGCACCATACCTGGCTTCTGAGCCTAGTTTTCAGAGAGCCTCCGGTAGTTGCTGTTATCTGTCCGCCATGTTCTCCCGGAAGTTCAGTCATGGAATTTTAAGTTGTATAACTTTCAGAGCTTGTGTTCTCTGAACTATATTATATAGCTTCACCTCAAAGCAAATGATTACAAAAGGCAAGAGGAAAGTTACTTTAAATCACAGATTCCTAAACTTTTTGTAGCAAATGAAATGCACCTGAGAAACCAATTTATAAACTAAGATCAAAGTCTAGCAGCCCTCCTGTTTATCTGAGGCTGTAACAAAACTACTGGGAGCATATTCTGAAAATGACTATTTCAAGTCATTCTGAGGCTATGTTATAGTTCAATGGTAAAGCACAGCCTAGAGATTAATCCCCAGCACAGAAAATCAACCAACCACTACTCTATTTTGGGTACAAATGGTATTATTTTAAATTCCAACAGAAATAAATAAATTGTAACAGAAACTATGTTTTTGAGCAGAAAGCAAGACTAGTAGAGACTGGGGCTTTTATTTATCTACATTTAATTGATAATATTTTTAAGTTGAACGTTTCAATATATTTAAAATTAGTAATTTGCCTAAAATGATCCAAAGGATGAAGTGGGGGATGTAAACGGAGCTCAAAACATACACTGCAAATATAAGACCCAGTTTTTTCTATTATAATTGTGTTGTGACTAATCAATCCATCTGCCTTTATCACTCTAAGACTTTTTTTAAACCTGATTACATTTACATTTCTTTCTCCTTCTCAACAATTATGAATTTCCCTACCTAATTATGAATCTTGTAGGTATTATATCCCCCCCAGTTCTCCCACTTACACATGAACTGTATTGTATAATCCAATAAATTAAGACAGTGCATATTAGAGCAAAAATATGCAGATTGGGTATTAAATTGTTGGGGTATTAGTACTGAATTAAGAAATCAAATCTATGTATCACTCAGTTGCAATATGAGGAAGGAATACTTTAGCAATGAAATGTGTATGTTTTCTATGACTTACTTGGTGTGAGGACCTTGCCACCTCACTGCTGTGGTATTGGGGACTAAACTCAGGGTCTTTACACTAAGCTACCTGTTTTTTGCTGGAGACAATCTCTCACTATTTAGTTAAATTGTTAAATTGCCCAGTCTGGGCTTGAATTTGAGATCCTTCTTCCTCAGTACACCCAGAGTGCTGGGATTATGGGCATACACCATAATACCTATCATTTTACTTGTCCCGTGTTATTTAATTTTCTCAATGCTGTCCCTTTATTTATTTATTTATTTATTTATTTATTTATGGTACCAGTGATTGAACTCATGAGTTTGCGCCAGCCACACAGGCACTTATACCACTGAGCTAAAACTTATGACTCCTTTCCTTAAAAAATTTTAAGAAGTGCATAGCATGCACAAGATGGATTCCCTCTCAACAACTTGAAAAGAAATTTTAAGGAAACACTAGTTTTCACTAACTTACTCCTTGACCATAATGCTACAACATGTACACCAACTGAATGTATTTGAATGTAAGCCCCCAAAGGTAAAAGAATAGCCTGTGACTTGAGGAGAAAGGGGGAAAGGTGAGGCACCTAAAAACACAGAATTATGAAGCAAAATGATAAAAGATCTTACGGTGATGATTCCAAAACGATGCTATTAGCTTGTGTTGATGATGGAGATCTCTGACTCACAAAAACTTCACTTGGGGAAGTGTGAACTACGTGGTCTACCAGATGACCAACGGAACATGGTCGTAACCGGGTTCCCTCTTGTGTGAATGTAGAATTTCGACTAAATGAAAAGGAATAAAAACTAAGTAAGTATGTTTAAATTAATTCAACTTTTGCAAGTCTGTTAATTACATGACTGTATGAGAAAATGACTATGTACTTTAAAACCAGTTAGGCTGATGAAGCAGTCTGTGGTATAAACAGGGTGATATAAACAGAAAAAACAGAATGGGGAGTCAGAGTCAATAGAACTGTATTCAACTTTCTGCCTTAAGGATGTCACCCATTCACTCATCAACTATCTCTAATTTAGTTTCCAATTTTTAGTTACAATTCTATGTCATATTCAAAATTTATTAAGTTGATTAGAATAAATGATTTAGAAGTGTCTTCTAGCATTGATTCTCTTTTCTTTTTGTGGTACTGGGGAGTAAGCCAATGGCCTTCACACTGAGCTGTATCTTTAGTCCTTTTTTTTTTTTCATTTTTAGATGGTCTTGCTAAATCTCTAAATTGCCCTGACTGGGATCAAACTTGTGATCTTTCTGCCTCAGCCTCCCAAAGCACAGAGATTTCAGTTATGTATCACCATGTCTAGCTCCTCTTTAATTCTTAGAAAGGTTTTTTTTGTTTATGATAATTTTAAATCCTAAGAGTAGTCATTAGACATGTATTTCTTTATTTAAAAATGATGTCTATGTAACAATTATTGCTATTTAAATCACTAATTACAAGAACTATCTGAGCACTTACTATGCACTGGGCATTTTTCTAAGCATTTTACATATGTCACTTCACTTAATGCTCAAAATAATAAGAAACACATTGTTATTATAAATACAAATTTTGGAAGAAAAAAATGAGACGGAAATTAATCAACCAGGGCTCGAATGTATAGTGACTATGGGGTCCACTCTCATACTTCCCACACTTTACCTTCTCTTTAGAACCACAAAATTTTTTCAGGTCATCTCTAAAATTATTTTATTAACCAGAAAACATAATCAGAATTATTGCTAATTAATTACTTGAATTACTTGGCTAAAATTTCTTGTGTCTACTTAATTTGCTTGTAATTTAGATATAAAATGTTCTTCAATCATGTCATATGATAAAGATGGGCTTTTGGAAGGTGACTGAATAATGAGGGCACTAAAGTCATCAGTGAATAGTTAAATGTGCTGGTGAGGCTTGGTTGGCGGAGGTGGGTCACTTGAAATGTGTTCTGGAAGGGTGGTTCTTATCTCTGTACCATTTCTCTCTATTCTTCCACTCTCTGTTTCCAGCTATTGTGAGGTAGTCAGCTTTCATCTGTCATATCCCTCCGCGAAGATGTTTCTGCCTAAAAGCCAGCCAACTATAGACTGAATCCTCTGAAACCATGAGCTGAAATAAATCTTTCTTCCTTCCTTTAAATTTAGTATGTCAGGTATTTTGTTCTAGCAGTGGAAATACTAACTCATCACTACAAATGTTTAATGGTGCTGCAAAAAAATGGAGAAATGCTGGCTATGAAAGGAAGGAAAAAAAAAAAGAGTTCTGAAACTTCAAATAAACTGATGAGTCTTTGTATAATATATAGACAGTGTTAGAAAAATTATTTAGCATTCTGCAACTAGCAAGACAAAAACTACCAAATATTATATATTTTTTTTAATCGGTACCGGGGATCGAACTCATGACTGCCTGCTTGGAAGGCAAGCGCTTATGGCGCTGAGCTAAATCCCCAGCCCCAAATATAATTTTTTAAGCTGTAGGGAAAACACTTACATAATAAAGCTCTGTGAAGCAAATTGTTTGCACACATACTTTATGTCTAAAATACGTTTATTCTTCAGTTAACACCCATCAGTGACAGTTTAAGACCTAGCGCAAATTTATTAAATAGTGATGTATATAAAATATTTCTAAAGGAAAACAACTTCAGGAATTATATTCTCACCAAAATCCAAGTATTTTATAAATGAATCTTGTGTTAACAAAGTATGTTAATATGCTGACATATCTGTTTAGTATTATCTTAAATATAGTACACTTGCTTCTTAAGATATATAATCAACATCTTTGGAAGAAAGCTTTTTTTATTTTTTGGTACCAAGAATCAAACTCACAACCGTGTGCCTGCCAGGCAGGCACTGTGCTACTGTGCTACATTCCTGGCCCTAATCAACATCTTTGGATAGGACAAATTTATTAACTTATTATCTACACTAAAAGCACAGAATTTTCATGAGAAATACTAGTTTAATACTGAGTCACATAGTTCTTTTTAGCACAGCTATAGCTAAATTTAAGGGACTAGTGCTGCAAATCTCTTTTTCTAAATCACAGAAGTGGTATAGTCATGATTGGAAAGTCATGATAGGAAATGCGTTTTTTAAGTAAGAGAAAATCACAATCATTTGTAAGCATCTTCAAACAAATATGCTCCTAGAAAATTCTGCTGGGAAACAATATGGAAAAGATTATGTAAATAACAACTAGCATGAGATTTAAAGTTCACTAATCTCTCGATTTGTTTGCTAGGACCTAATCTTTACTTGTGAAAGGCAATTGTAAGGAAGTGAGGGTCCTTGTTTATTGCTCTACTCCCTCATTTCCCAAGACTATTCCATGCCACTATTTCAATGAATAGCAAGTAAAGAAGAAATAATACTCGAGCAATCAAAATTATATTTCATCAGAATAGTTAGATTTTTACATATTTTGATCATCACACCATAGAAATATAGAGCCAATTATTTAGACATTAGCAAAATAAAGACCTGATATTGTATTTGGTTTTTACTTACTGATTAGGAGTTCCAGGTGGAGACCTTGATGGAAGGCTTTGTGTTTCTAACCTGTCATCAGATATTGAATTTCTACTTACTACTTCCCAATCCATTAATTTCCGTGCCAATGGCTTACTGGGGGATCTGCAGAAATATTTAAATAATATGTGATGTTTTCATTTTTATTCCCCAAACTACAAATCCAAAAATGTGTTTTGATTAGTCATAGTCTAGACAGTCAATTACATTAATATTATAATAATCCACAAGTTAATTCATTTAGATGTTATTTACCAAATATTCTAAAAAGGGACATTTGCTTTACATGAAGAAGAAAGAACAGACAAGCCAGGAAGAATAGAGAATAGAAAAGTAAAGTAACAGAATAAAAAAAGAAAACAAAGAAAAAAAAGGTAGTAGACTGTTACCAAATGTTTTCTGAGATCTTATCAATATTATAGATATTACCCATGTTTTATATTAGGGTATCTGTAACTGTACGTATCATGAGACGTGTTAAACAATTCCTACTACTGTATCTTCCAAATGTCCTTAAATCTTGAATGACTTTCTCAATGAGGACAGGTCAAAAATGACAATTATGCTTATTATATTTTATTTATAATTGTTTTCATCTTTAAATATAGAAGGTCAATGGAATATTTTTCCTTTTGTTTTAAAAAACATTTTAGAAGGTTAACTATTCTAACTTGTGGGGGAACAAACATGTTTTATTCCCTATAAATATTATGTCTTTTATAATGAGAACTAAGTGATCTTTTATAGAAAAAAATCTTGATAATAATCTAGACAGATTGGTCTATATAAAAATCACAAGTCTTTAGAATTTTAGGATGGTTAACACCTAAAGTCTTTTTACATGTAAATTCAGACAAATACTGACTAAAATTCATTGAAAATATATGGCATCTATTTAAATAGCTTTTGACATGCAAAGTCAGTATGATACTAACAAAATGAATTAAACTACTTATATAAAATATACAGTAAATCATCTATCATTATTTCTGTAATAAATTTACTAAAATACATAAAATTGTTATGTTCAATTATAAATGCTTAAGATATAGATTCTATTATCTTACTACAAAAACTGGATCATAAAAATTTAAGCAAAATTTTAAAATCAAGGCTATTTTTAGTTAAAGCTCATAGGATCCATAAGTTTTTATTATGCTAGTTTTGATTTACTTTTAGGTTTTTCAGTAATAAAAAAAGAATTGCTTAGTTCTACATTTTTTACCATAGCCACATTTATTAAAGTTGGCCATCACTTTTCCCTCTCATCATATACTGTTGATAATTTTGATAATACACTGTTGATAATAAAAACCTCTTGACTAAATAAAAACTTTTTCAAGCAAAGAACAAATTCAATATTAAGCCAGTCAACTGCATTTAAACAATGAGCTCATTATAAACTAAAATTCTAATGTCATAAAGTTTGCAATTGTACTTTTAGCTTTAAATTGCCTTTCAAATATGTTAAACACATAAAAAAAGAATAAGCTGACCTAAAAAGCATAATGGTGACCAAAAAATACTCTAGAAAGTATTGTGAACATTACATACTGTTCATTATTAACATTACATACATTAGGAGGATTAAAATGAGTAGAGATCCAACCCTAAATCCTAATTCTGGCCTGCCATTGACAAATTAAATTACTCTAAGTTTACTAATACAGCATCATTCTGTGCTCCTCTTTATGTACTGAATTTCATGATTTATGAGTTCTAAATTTTCAATGTAATGTTTTAGCCTATTAATTTTACTAAATCATGAATAACAATTATGAATACAAACCACAAAATGATATCCCAGAGTTTCACAGCCTTACATATTTTTTTACCTGATGACATTTCCTTGTTGGCTACTTTTATTTTACTTATTATAATTTTGAAACATATTTAATTTGTTTTAATCTAGTCTTTCTGATTTCTTTTTTTTTAAGCAAGGTTCTGCTATGTTGTCTAGGCTGGCCTTGAACTCATAATCCTCCTGCTGCAGTCACCCAAGTAGCTGGGATTATAGACGTATGCCACTGCACTAGGCAATTCCGACTAGTGATGTAGTTATTGACCAAGGTGGGGGGGGAGACATCGACTCATTTCTTTTTCCATAAGTACTTAAAGTTGAAGGAATTTTCCAGAAGTACTTAAATTTGAAGGAATTTAAGCATGAATATCTCCCACTGAGTTTAAATTACAGATTTTTTTTTACTTGAAAACAATTCAGCATACCATTTCGTCTCACCTCTTCACATTGCAGTGTAAATACTGACAGTAACAAAATGAAAACCTTATATATTCGATTATTAAAATAAAATCTTAAACTTACCATGACTTACCGTTTATTGATGGTTTTTATATCAGTGCTAATCCTTAAGGTTTATAAACTGTTCTTTCCCCATATATTAAGACTACTGAATACAAGCTATAAGACAGTTTACTAGCTACAGATTAAGAGATCATCTACTTTCATTTTCTAAGAGAAGAAAATAAATTTATAAAAAAGAAAAAAATAATCTAGAATACTTAAGCTAGCATAACTGGTTGGAACACTTTCTTCTTGTTAATGGACTAAACATGGTTGGAAATTCTTTGAATTTAAAACTAAATTTCAAGTATTTTATTTTATTAACAGTTTTAACCTCAGAGACCCACCCACTCAAACTTGCTGTCTATGCTTCCTGTTGAGTGTGGAAATTTCAAAGAAAAAAATACCACACTGCAGTTTGTTTGCAATGTGGTAAATTTATTTTCTGACCATGGCACCTTATTTTTCTATACTATAAGGACGCTGTTTTTCTCTTTTCTTAAAAATTACGACATGATAACTGAAAAAGTATGAAAGCAATTCAGAGTTGATATTTTAAAAATGAGTAAAAGGTTAACTTTATCACTGCTATAAAAATCTTGTAAGTTTAAGGAGAAATATTTTCTATCTAATTATATTACCAAGTAAAATGTGAAAGAAGACAAGCATTCTAGATTCTTTAATACTTTACCAAAATAACTAAAATTGCTAAAACCATTAGAGAATTTTGCTAGAATTTGCAACACAAGATACTAATCTATGAGAAAAGCAATCCCAGAAAGGCTTAAGAAAGAGAGATCATTACAACAGCCTAATATCAAAATCTCTGATGATGGCTCACTTTAAGTAGAGTTAACACAAAGGCAAAAAAACTGAAGGAATATAAGGAGTCTTACCATATTGGAATTCTAGATTTACTATTTATCAAATAAAGCAAAATTTTATAAAATAAGCTGATCAACTTCACATGTTAATAATATATAAAACAAACCATTAAGATGCAGATATAACAGCATATTTCAAAAATTTGATATGATCAGAAATATTAAAACAATATATAAAAATATTTATATGGATTGGCAATAATAACATGTAAGTACCACTATGATTATATACAACTAGTCACCACATTACTATTTTTAACAAATATTAAGTAATAACAAAGTGAAGTTTGTTAAGAAGCAAGGAAAAGTTGTAATATATTGTTATGGTGCAATTACAGCACTAAGAAACAGAATACTTTGATTTTAAAAAGTACTGAAATATGTATTACAAATATGTTAATGTCATGTACTAAGAACTAGAACAAATCAGGAATCAAAGGTTTCTCTCAAAAAATGGGTTAGAGCAGCTAGGGATGTAGTACAGTGTGAGAGCCCTAAGTTCAACTCCCAGTATAATACTGAGAAGGAAAAATAAACTAGAACAAATACATTTTAAATTAGAACAAAGTTGAGAGGAAGTAAGTTATGTCTCAAGAGAAATTAAAAAGACAACAACTTCATGTTAACATTTACTGTACACTTATCATTAAACAGGCTTTTAGCAATTCTAACTGGGAAAAAAAAAGATATCTAACACTGTAAAGAGAAGATCTTAAGTGATTTCAGTAGTCACTAGTGATTTCAGCACTAGTATAAGCATTTCTGAGTTGACTCTCTCCCTCCCTTTATAAACAAGCCACTACTGTGCCACAGATTTAAGATAATCTTCCCTTATAAATCTATAAACCAGATATACTGATTTCAAAATTTTTGAAGGAATGCTGAAATAAATTCTATCATTCAAATTCAAGTAAATTTATCAGAGTAAAATGCTATAGCCCTAACCTGCTGAATCCTTCCCACATCAAGGGATTTTTATAGACTTCTATTGAGTAATTATTCATATACAAATCCAAATGGAGGCAACTTCAGAACAAAGAGGGAAAAGGGAAGTAAATTTTATTATTTAAATACTAAAAACCATGTTTCAATAATTTTTTTTTCAAGTGCCCTTACTTCCAAGAAGCTCACACTGTTATTTACTTTGACAAGCAAGGAGGACATATCATTATGACAGCTTCAAGTGATCTGAACAACTCCCAGATAGGAACAAAGCAAGAATAAATGATACAAAGAGGAATCCTGCAGTTAAATCTATGCATTATGATAAAAAAGTGTAGAAACCTGTGTGAACTTATTGCCATTGTAAATAATAGACTTTTCAACATCAAAGAAAATGTGCATAATATGCTAAGTGATAAAAGTCAGCAACATTAAAAAAACAATTTTGAAACAAATATATATAGACATATAAATATGAGCATATGCTCAGAAAAATATTAAATAAATACCTAAATTTTTAAAGTGGCTGTCATGGGATGACAATTTTTCTTCATTATTTGACACTTCTGAAGTTCTAAACTATTAACAATCCATTACTCATATTACTAGACAAATAAGTTATTCTCACATTGGGAAGGAATTTTAAAAACAAAACAAGCAAGCAAACAAAAAACCCACCAAAACACAAAACTCCTTTTCCTCCAGAAACACAAAACAGGAAGGACTTTAGGAGGAAGACTAACAGCAAAGTTTAGGTCCCTTGCCCCTTTCTTTTCTTCCTTTTGGTAGTACCAGGGGCCTTGCACAGGCTAGGAAAGTGCCCCACCATAGGGCTACATCAACAGTCCCTAACAGTAATTTTTTTTTTAAGGGCAGAAATATCTATTGAGAGGAAGAAAGCTTCTGTCTGAGAGAGACAGAAAAGGTGCTGAGTGGGTTGCCTAAGATTCTGCCTTTTCTAGGCATTTTTATAGAGGTGAGGCAGGCCTAAGAAGGGGGAAAACAGGGAACTAGCAGGGCAGATGGGTATGAGGTGGGACAGAGTTATGGTCAGTCAACCAATCAGATTAGTTGTTCAGGTAAAACTGAACAAATTAGGGACAAATGGGGAAGCCAGTAATGCAGCAAGCATTCTTTGGGATCAGTGACTCTTCCTGTAGGAGTTTGGGATGGTGACTCCTGACTTGACTTCTCAAGGTGATTCATATCTAATCCCTAATGTTTATACTTTAGGATGTGGTTGCATTTCCTAACAGTGAAATTTAAGCAAAATAAAATCAAAGGCAAAAATTCTTTGGTTCTAAATTCTCCAGTCTCTAACAGTAGCAGACAGCAAGCACATAACTCTAAGGAAACTCCTGTATCTAATATACCTCTACCTGATTGGTCATCAATTAGATATCCTCAACTGTCTTCTGTACACTCCCTTCCAGTGTCAGTGTTGTAGTTCAGGTGTTCATGACTTTTACTTGAATTGCTGTAGTGATCTTATTCACCTGAGCCCAGTCTTTATTTACTAATCTATTCTCTAGCCTCATAAAACTAGTTAAATCTTTCTAAAATGTGTCAATTCATTTCTTAAAAAGCATACTGGCTCTCACATACCCTAAAAAAAGGAAGGTAATAAATAGCAAACCAAAAGCAATTTAACTGTTGCATAATAATATGATTTAGATAAACATGTAGACAGGTTGGATAGCATATGAAATTTTTCAAAATGTTTCTTAAAAAATCTTTTTAAATGGCATCCATTTTCCAATAAAATGTTACATTAATAATGACACCTGATATAGCCTACTAAAACTACAACATGTGACATATGACTGTTTATATATTTTAAAAAACAATAAATTAAGCAATCTTATTTATCATTTCAATATAATTTATTTTGCAATCAAGAAGAACTATTATGTGATAATTCTGCAATAACGCAGAGAAAGTTTTTAATAATATTAATCCCTTTTAAAAATGTATACTCTGAAACAGATTTCACTTACCTTGCAAATATCCTGTCTTTATTTGCCTTTTCTTTGCCATACTGAACTGATTGGACTTCAGTTCTCCCACTGAAATACAAAAATATACATAGTATTTTAAAAGAGTAAGATGGGAGAACACACAACATGATTATGTTAGAATTTTGGAAGAGATAGGGCATTTCTTGTACAAAAGGAAGGAGGTGAGAGGAGCTGGACATGGTAGCATGACTATAACCCTAGCACCCAGAGGCTGAGGCAGGATTTACATGTTCAAGACCAGTTTAGATCACAGATTAAGACCCTATCTGCAAGAGGGGAAAAAAGGGAAGCAGATTAAAAGGGAAAAATGGGAGCACATTCCAGCTCTACCTACACAGACGAAGCTTAATTATATTTTTTCTGTAGACATTTCATTGTTTGATACTTCTACACTGAGAACAAGTAAAAGAAAAATAATTTTTTTTTTTTTTTTTTTTTTTTTTTTTTTTGGTGTACCGGGGATTGAACTCAAGACCTTGCACTTGCCAGGCAGGCATTTATGCCACTGAGCTAAATCCCCAGCCCCAAGAAAAATAATTTTGCATAAGAAAAATTCCTCCTGTGTTATGTCCTACAAAGATACTTTTTTCTAGAGCCAGAGCTAGATGCCACTTCCTCCCAAACATTAGCTAAGTCTTGTACTTAGCTAGTATCTACTATTTTTAATGCAAGGGCTAAAACATGAGGGATCTTAAAAAAAAAATGTACTTTCTTTGGAATCTTCTTTTTCTCTTCATGATTACAGGTTTGCAGACTGGTTACATGAAAAGGAATTAGGGGCATTGGGTTGGGTAAAGCCTTTCTAACAGCTGTGTAATAATTTTCCTCAATTAAATCAGCTTGAAAAAACTTTGCTCTTCTCTAAGTTCTGATAATTTTCTAATGGAGTAAATTCAAATAAAACATTATTACTCAAAAGGTGTGAAAACAAGTTGAATTTCACAAAAAGAAGCAATTAAAAAACTAACAGCAAAAAGGTTTATATTGTATACTGTTCATAACTTAAGTCTTCAGGATTTCATATTGTTAGAACAAAATATAAAACCATACCACACTCAGGACAATAAATTCTGCCAATAGGATACTTATTTTTTGAGCAATGAGAATGTACCAGTTGTTCCCCTCCCAAGCTCCTCAGCAATTCAAGCAATGTAGTTAAGAACAAGAACAAAGCCTTATCCCTAAGAATTTATCATCCATATAAACAAGTAAATATTTTGAAATTCCTTGTGTGTACACATTGAAAAGGCTAGATATATAGATACAACCTTGTTACAATGTGATTATGTGCTATATATATGCCATTTTAATTTTTTATTTTAATTTTTCAGATTAAGGAATCGCAGTATTTTGCCCACAATTGTCTTAAGCTCTCAGGATCAAGTGATCCTCCTGCCATAGTCTACTGAGTAGCTAACACCATAGGCACACCCCACCATGCACACCCACATGACACTTCAAATGATAAAAGATTAAACTGATTTCCTTTGAACTGAGAAAGACTGAGACCGGACAGAGAAAGAATGCTGTTAAAAGAGGAGCAGGAAAAAAAAAAAAAGATTAGGAAAAACTCTAGGTTTTCACTGAGGTTGAAAATATATATTTCAAATTTTGTTAATAGGGATTAAATATTTCACCCATTTACTTCCCCTTTTTAAAATTTATTAGTTTTACTTTTCTTAAGGGTTTATGTCATTGTAATTCTACTCTCTAGTCATCATTCAAAGGTTAGTTATATGTTTAATAGATTTAATCTTTAATGTCTACTCTCATCACCTATATTCACCACTAAGCAACACTGTAATGGGGTTGTAATTGGATCAATAAGAAAATGAAACAAAAGCATCAGGTTAGAAAGGAACTATGATATATTCTCTAAATCAGTGGTGGGAGCCTTCCTGGTAAGCTGCACAAGCCACAGGTGCACCAGTTAGAGAACATAGCATCTCCAAAGAATCAGCCATGCTGGAACTTGGGGGACCAACCAAGTGAGCCATTGCTTCACTGACCCAGCCTTCTTGGTAAGTGACACAGCCTTCTTGGTAAGTAGCACAAGCTGCAGGTCTGCCAGGGAAAGAATAAGTCAGTGTCTCCCCTGAGCCTACGGCTGTGTAGGCTCAGGGTCAAATGTTCTGTGTCATCCCCTCACTTCTTAGCAAATGGATGGTTTAGAGGTCAACCAAGAGTTAACACCAACTAAGGTACATAAAGCAACTAAATGCTTGTATTGTTTCGTTGACTATGCTGACCTGAAGCCAGAGGTCTGAGCATCTCTTGGGAGGATGACAATAGGCAACATAGCAAATATGGGAGATTTCCTTCTATTTTGTAAAGGCCAATATTGTTTTCACTGTTTTGCTTTGCTTGGATTAACTGTTTGCTCTATTCAATATTCTGTTTTGACTGGTTTTATAATATTCTGTTTTTGGTTTGATTTTGCTATACCTGATTGAATGGACAACTATTGTGCAGATACCAAGATATACTGTGGTAGGTATTACTGTTATCCCAGAATCCTGCTCTGAAGTTCTGTACCAATTTCACTCCATTGCCTTGATTGGTTTTGTTCTGTTTTGTTCTGTTGTATTTTACTATCTTTAAAATACAATAAATAAATAAATAAATTAGTAGTGGGAAACCCAAGGCACACATACTGCAGAGGACTGTTGGTATCACCAGAAGTTCTAAAAGGGTTGCCATCACGACTCTAGGTAGAAAACCTGTTGTAAGCTATTAAAAAACTCCTAAAATAATTGCCTTTAGTAAAGTTTCAGGAAACAAGACCAATACTTAAAAATCTACTGGCAATGAACAATCTGAAGTTAAAATTTTAAAAATATCATTTATAACAAAATGAAAAATGAGATACTTAAAGCTAAATTTGACAAAGACCTGTAAACCATAAGCTGCAAACACTATAAGACTTAAAGAAAAATGCATTTGAGCTTTATAAATTGAGATCAATATTGTATAGATTCAGAACAACTATAATTAGAATCATAAAGGCTTTTTAGTAGGAATTAATAAGCTAATTCTAAAATTCATATGGAAATGCAAAAGTCCTAGAATACCTAAAATAATTTCTAAAAAAAGCAAAGTTAGACAACTAATATTACATGACTTTAATATCTGAGAGAGGACCACATAAATATTAACAACTGATATTTAACAAAGTTGCAAAGACATAAATGGGTATCCATCAGCAAAAACCAAACAAAAACCTTTTAATTCAAAATTCACATCAGATACAAGAAAGATATCCAAATGGATCATGTATTTAAGTGTAAGATCTAAAACTGTAAAACTCTCACAAGAAAACAGAAATAAATCTGTGACCTTGAACAGGCAAAGATTCCTTAGAACAACTAAAGATTCATAGAAGAGCAACCGATAAAGTGAACTTGACCAAAATTAACAAATTGCTCTTCAAAAGATACTGGTGCATAATGAAAAGATAACAGCAAACACTGATGGGTTTGTGAAGGAGCTAGAACTCTATGGCAGGGCTAAAGACCTTATGTGGACACTAGGAAATGTTCTATTGATGAGCTACATCCTCAACAGTGCACTGGAACTCTTACACACTCGAAAAGAGTATATAAATGGTACAACAGCTTTGAAAAAATGTTTGGCAGTTCTTACAAAATTAAACACATACCAAACATATGACCTGGTCATTCCAATGCATGTTTACCCCCCAAAAATTAAAGCAAATGTTAATATAAATACAAAGGCTTCCACATACATGTTCATAATAGCTTTATTAGTAATGGACCCCTAAAAAACTCATTTGATATTTATAATCAAGTGAATGTATAAATTACACATATACACACACACAGATGCAGACATGCATATACAGTGTGGAATACTACTATCAAGAAACACAGCAACAGACAAAAATCTCGAAATAATTATGCTGAGCAAAAGTGACCAAAACTTCATAACTTCACATATTTCTGCAAGTGCAGAAAAAAAAGAAAGCATTCTACCAGAGGGCAAGAGAAGTTCATGTATAATTATCTCAGTGGTCACTTAGGAATTGAATTCACTGAAGGAATACTCTTAGGGTTTGTACTGTTCTCTCATTTCACTACAGCCTAACAGACTTCTGTTGTTTCTGTTGAAACTTGGGATAGACAGTTAAGGCTTTGCATTTTCCTTAAACTGTTATCACTGACCTGACACTGTTTTCCTTAGTCTATTTACCTTTAAATTTCCAAGTACTGTCACTTTACTTTTCTCAATATTGCTTTTAAGAAAGCAACAAAGAGTTAAAAGTAGTATCAAGTCACTTAATCTACTGTGCTTTTTTGGTCGTTAAAATTTTCCTAATCGTTGGTACTGAACTTTTATGCTTTTTTTTTTTTTTACTATTTTTTCTGGGGTAAAGGGCAAGTATTTTTAGAGATGTATCATGTACTAAGCTTCAGGGCATTATTTTTACTGAGATTATATATTGGGCATTTATAAATGTTTGAAACTTATGATATAAAGCCTTACTGAGACTCACTTAACCCCCTTTCTCATGAATATATAACATGAATTAATCTAACACATAATAGTCAAGGGTTTTACTTTTAGAAGATAGAAAATCTTACACAGTGAAAAGAAAAAACATTTGTCTTACTAGAAGATACTACTTTTTCTACATGAGTTTTAACAGATTTCACTTTAAAACTAGCATTTATAGGCCTACTAAGAATTCTTCAGGTAAGAATAATCAGAACTACTTTACCTACAAAGACTGTTGCTTTTAGGAAAAAAGAAAACTCTCAAGAATAAATAAAATGAAGGGGACAGTTGAACAGAAGGAAGACTTCTAACGTTCTATATAGCATAGGAGGATAATTATGATTGACAACATTTTATTGCAATTTTTGAAATAACTAGTAGAGAGTGTTTTGACTATTCCCAATGCACAGAAAAAATAAATGTTTGAGGTGATGGATATGTTAACTGTCCTGAAATATACGTGTTATACAACTGAAATGTCAAGCTGTATTCCATTATGCATCAGTTAAAAAGAAAAATTATTTTCAAGTAACACAATTTTAGGAAAAGAACCTGGAGTTATTGTTCAACAACTAAATATGATTTTACTTACTGGATGTCTTGAACTCTTAGGATTTGGTAACTCAGAAATAAAACACAATGTAATTATATATTCATGTAGAAGAAATCTTGGTTTTTAGAAATAAAAAAAATACTTTAAAACATGAGACAATTTTCATATAGTTAATAAACAATAGAAATTGTAACATCTGTCTAGATTATAAGTAAATGTGACTGATTTACTTTAGATTATGATGACCTGAAATAGGCTTCTTGTGGCTGAAATATTTCATAAGAATCTGGAATTTTTACTAGGAAGAAGAGGAGCTACAATCTGTGGAGATTTCTATAGGTATAAATGAATAATAGTGATTTTTTTGATCTTTATTTTAAAGGGGAAAAGAAATTCAACAATAAAACATTAATACAAACATAATACTTACCAGTACCGGAATTTTGAACCTAATGTAAAATAATGTGCAAAAAAATTCTTTTGAGGTGGAAGTGGTCTGTCCAAACGGAAGAATGTATGATGTTCTACACACGCTTTCCACAAATTTTTACATGCTCTGTAATTCACCATATTAAATCCCAACAATGTTTCCCTAGATTCATGCTGTAATAAATGACAAAATGCAGAAAATACCAGGAAAATGTCAGCTCTAATGATCCTTTTACTTTTAACATAAAATATTCCAGCTTTGTAAATGTAATAGTCCCTATAGAATTTTTTTCCTTTACTGAATAAAAGTAAAATAAATGAAGAAATTTACAAAACATCAATCTCATTGAGTATTTGTATGACTTTCAGGAATTTTTACCCTAGATCACAGCTAAGAGAGAAGTTTAAATTTTTGATGCATATCTAGTTCCAAAACTTATTGGTAGGAATCTGTTTCAAAATGTAATTATGGCCCATAAATTAAAATTTAAGATATACCAACACACTTTTCAGCAGTATCTCTAATTTTGAAATTCTGCCTAAATTACAAATAAGAATCTGAACAGTATTATAAAATTCAGAATTTAAAATAATTAGCACTAGAACAGAATTTCTTTAATTTTCTTTAAGTCTGGTATAGATTACTAAGTAATTTCACCAAAATAAACCATGAATAGCAAAGTACTTGTCCCATAAGTGTACAGTTCTGATTTTCACAAAAATACAATGTTATCTTCAGTATGATTCGAAATGGACTACTACTACCTCTTTTGTCTCCTTTTCCCACCAGATGGACTTCTGACTTTTATCACCATGTATTACTCATGCTTGTTTTTGAATTTTATGTACTTAAATATACATTTTATATTTTTAGGTACAAACCTTTTGCTCATTATGTTTCTGATATGCAATACATTTACAGAGCTGTAAAGCAATAATTAATTCACATTCTTGTATTTTACTATAATGATCACACTATAGTTTATATACTTTACTGTTGATAGATATTTGATATTTCCATGTTGGGGATATAATAAGAACGCTGTTATGTATATGTATTCCTACATAAGCACAATGTTTCTATTGTAAGATATTGTGTATGTCAGTTTCAGTGGATGCCTAAAAGTTTTTCAAAATGATTGGGTCAATGGACAATCCCTCCCACCAACAGTGTATGCATCACACACTTACCAACCACTGGTTTTTTAGTCCTCATTTTAGTGTTTCGATGGGTATGCAAAGGTAGCACATTTTGGCTATAATATGTATTTCTCCTTGATGACTAACAAGGTTCAACACCTTTTCATAATAATAGATGTTATTTGTGAAGTGTTATTCAAGTTACTGTCATATTTTTCTACTGGAACACACATATACCCAAGGAATGTGTGTATGTGTATGTGTGTGAGAAAGATATACACATATTCTATACTATCAGTTAATGATGACTTTTGATGAAAAGTTATCAATTGTAACATAGTCTGAATTATTACCATTATTTTTTAGGTTAAGGTCTTGTTCAAAAAGTATTTGTCCATCAAAAGATACTTTCCATTGTTAAACTATGCTAAAATGCCCATGTATACATAATATACTATAATGTTAAAAAGATATATTTAAAGCATTACTACTTGAGCTGGGGATATAGATCAGTTAGAAGAGTGCTTGTATAGTGTGCATAAGGCCCTTGGTTCAATCTCTAGTACAAAAAAAATTACTTCTAAATCACCAGAAACTTAATTTTTAATTATGATTAAGGGTTGGGTTTGCATGGACAAACATATACATCTTACATGCTGTATAATAAAATGCAAAAATACTGATTGTATTTGGAATGTATTTTTCCCATGATGTTTGTAAACAATGGACATAAAATGTTGTACTGATAGATAAGAACATACTATGAAGTCTGGATATTTGAAAATAGAGATATTGCATTGCAAAATGTTCTCTCATGAATGATTGGACATTGCTTAAAAGACTTCAATTTATGAAGAATCGTTAGATCAGTACTTACCAATTCTTTTCTAAGTTGAATAAAAAACTGTTTGCACTTAAAAGAAATTTTTATAATCTTCAACCTAGAGAATAAATTGGAGTACTTAAAATATTGAATAAATATATTAACAAAGAAAATAATTATACAAATGATCTTTTAAACACTTTAGTAATATATAAACATTTATTATATATACATACTATATATTAATAATCAAAAGGTTTTGGTGCTTCATGGGAAACTATTAAAATCTACATCCTCTACTGAGGAAAATTTTATCAAATTATTATGACCTACACATTTTCCAACTTCATATGTATGAAAAAACTTATATACAGTTGTCTAGTTTATAAAGCTACAATATTTACTGAAAAACATAAAATTTCAGTTTTATACAGTGACTCTAAAAATTCTGACTTCCAAGAGCATATTTTAATTTCATCTTTCTTTTTAAAATTTTATTAGTATATGTTTGTAGTACAAGATGTTTACATTTATCTTGGGCAGTAAGCATATGCATAAAACAGCTTTTTAAAATTCCCTTTCCCTTTCCAGTTACTTCCCTCCCTTCTCCTCTAACTCCTTTTCCCCATTTTTCATTCCTATTGCTATTATTATTCTTAGTTCATGTTTATGACATAAAATATTTATATTCATTGAGGTTACTAAGTTCCTACAGTTGGCTTATCTTAAATCTTTTTACTTCCCCTCTCCACCTTCAGATTCTTGGACCCTTTCCCATTTGCAAATCATCTATAACCTTGTTTCCTTCTATCCTTTTTATTTTTGCCCTTTTTATTTTATTTTATTTCTGCCTTTCTGAAATGAGAGATACCACACAGTATTTAAGCCAGTGTTTGTGATTTACTTCACTCAACATTATATTTTCCAGGGGCAACCACAAACTTATTCTTCTTTATATACGAGTAGTATTTCATTATAAAAGAAAGCACATTTTCTGTATCCATTAATTATGGACATAATGGCTACTTGCAGGATTTAAGCTATTATGAATTACACCATCATAAACACTGGTATGCATGTATCATTGAGGTATGATGTCTTTAGCTCATTGGGGAAGAATACCTAGAAGGAGAATAGTGGGGTAACATGGAATTTCTAATTTTATTTCTCTAAGAAATCTCCATACTGACTGATTTCATTTTTTTACACTGCCTCTCTTTTAATCTGCATCTCACATGAGTTCTCAAAGATTAGTAAAATCAATATGAATCAAATTGATTTTGGCTCTTTATAAACCATAACCTAAGTGACAGTCACATCTTTTTTGATTAAAGCTCTGATGGTCATGGGATCACATTCATACAAAACATGCTTTGGGTCCTGCCCAATTTACTAATAAATATTTTCATGGCAATTCTAAGTTTTGATCCTCATGACTCATCACCCTATCTACCCAAGCAGCTCTCAGCATTTCCGAAGAAGAAACTTCTAACAGCTCAAATGAGGTAAATGCACAAATCAGTTTCAAGCATGACTGTTCAGTGTAAGGAAATAGAGATATGCTTCGTTTACAGACTTAAAAATTTTTATTTTACTTTTACATCCACAGCTTTCACTGGATGAGGACAAATGGGGAAATTCTTCTGTCATATGACCACGGGCATTGTCTCTAGAAAGTGGACTAAAGACTTGGTAAAACAGATTCTAGTCATGACAAAAAAGCAAACCAGGTACCTAAATTTTAAAAGATCTATAGGGCGGCTAGGCATGTTGGCAGACATCTGTAAATCCAAGCACTGGGGAGGCTAAGGCATGAATATTACTGCGAATTTGAGGCCAGCCTGAACTACATAATGAGTTCAAGGCCAGCCTAAGTACATAGAAAACCCTGTCTCAAAAAATAAGAAACAAACAAAAACTACAAGAGCCATATATATTTTAGAAGTTATAATTTCTATTAAGAGCCATCATAACAAATAAAAATTTTAAAAATGATTTCTAAGTGATTAAGAGAAAATATAAACCAGTTTGAAATCATTTTAATTTCATGAATATCAAACAGTGAAAATCACTAAACTGGATGTTCTTTGGCGTACTTTGTACTTCTATTGTCTTCTAAATTTATTATTCATGAATTTATCTAGTGGATAAGGGTATAACAGTTTCTCAGAAATACATCAATGAATAAAAATTTTTGAAATAATATTTATGTTGTACAATTATAATAGCTATTTTTTTGGTTTCTTTATGTCAGTTTTATTTTTTCCATTTACTGTCAAACATTTTGCCTTATCATGCTTTAGATATCTCTCTTGTAAGACATATGCTTTGTCTTACAAGAGAGATGTGGTCTCACCATGCAGTTCAGGCTAGCCTTGAGTTCACTTTGTAGTGCAGGCTGGTTTCAAATTTGCAATGATCCTCCTGCCTCAGCCTCCCAAATGCTGGAATTACAGGCATTGTGCCACCACACCCAGTGATGTGTGCATACTGATTTAAAAATACTGTTTGAATATTTCAAAAAATATAGATGAAAGAAAAATGTGCACATGAAAGATGCTCAACATCATTAGCTATTAAAGAAATGCAAATAAAAATGAAAAGGCTGCATCAATTCTCATCCAGATAGATGGATAAGATGGAATTTCAAAGAAAATGAACCTTCATATTGATAAAGGTAGCTTATCAAAATAAATTTTCAAAGCTTTATTGATGTCATTTACATAATATATAAATTCACTTTTTAAAGTATACAGTTCAGTGGTTTATAATATATTTTCAGGGTGTGACATCACTATAATCTAATTTTGAATCCTTTTCATTATGCAAAAAAAGATAGCTTTTAACCATTTGGAGTCATTCTCCATTACTTCCTCTCTTCTCCACTCATTTGTAGTCCTAGGCAATCATCAGATGAAATCATACTAATTTTTTGTGATTTGTTTCCTTTATTTAATATGTTTTTGTGGTCTATCCATGTTTAAGCAGTACGACTACTTTTATTTTTGCCACACAGTAATCTGTTCAGTGGTCATGCCATACTGTATCAGTTCATTAAGTGGTTTAAACTTTGGTAAACATTGATTTTCATTTCTTTTCAAAATACACTTAGGAGTTGAGTTCCTGGGCTTACATAGTATAGCTGCAATTGTGTATGTTCTCACCAGCAGTGTATGTGTGTTCAATTTCACCATATTCTCCCCAGCTCTTAATATGAAGGTTCATTGCCTTTGAAATTCTATCTATCTATCCATCTGTCTGTCTATCTTACAACATTAGAGATTGAATCCAGGCCCTATACACACTACATACGCTCTTCAGAGCTACATCCCAAGCCCTTTATAAAATTCTTTGCATTTTAAGACAGGGTCTTGCTAAGTTGCCCAGACCAACCTTGAATCTGGAAGATTCTCCTGCCTCATCCTATCAAGTAACTGTGACAACAGACACATCCTACTATACCCAGTAGAAACTTATTCCTCACAAGTCAGATCTACTAGAAACAAATTCCTTCAATTTTTGTTGGTCCGAGAGGGTACTTCTCTTGAATTTTAAGATAACTACAGGGTTTTAGGTTGGAATTTTTCCTTTTGACGCTATTAAATATTTCATTTTGTTCTTCTGAAGAGAAGTTTAAGGTTTTATCCTTGTTTCCTTGTGAAAGTGTTTTTGATGTTTTGCTTCTTTTAAGATTTGTTCTTTGTTCTGATTTATCAATATGGTGTTTAACTATGGATTTTTGTGATACTTAATCTTTTATTTTCTAAATTTCCTCGGTCTATTGTTTGGTGGTTGTCACTAATTTGCAAAGTTATCAACCACTATTTCTGAGACAGGAGATCAGGGCATAACAGATTGGGTGGGGAAGTAGGTGGTAGAAATAGCTGTTAATTTAAAAATCCCAGGAACACATATGTCAAACAGTTCCTAAAGCTTTGCACATGAACTTCTCGTGAGAACTGGAACAGTTTAAAGACATGTCGGCCTAGACCCAACCTCAGTCTAAGAGTAGGCAGTACAAAAAGAAAGGTCGCTACTCACTGAGTTCTCTACTACCATGTTTGCACACATTATCCTACTTCTACTTAGCTCAAACTCACTCTGCAATTACATAGGAGCATTTAAAAGATATGAAACACTATATAAAGAAGTATATTTTACATATACAACAATGAGGTGAACAATGAGTTCTGAGCGTGTTCAATTATATAACTATTCACAAAAATCATATAATGGATCTATTATCCCAAAAAGTTTCCTGGGTGCCCCTTTGCAACTCATTTAATAGCCTCCTTCTACTTTCAGACCCCAACAATCAAGGATCTTGAGTGTGTATTATGTGTGTGTTCTAGAATTACATATGAATAGAAATAAAGAGCAATACAGTTTTCTGAGTCTGGCTTTTTATACTTAGCAGAATATATAATACACACACACACATATGCATGATTTGTCCTATCAATTGAAAGATATCTGAATTTTCATTTTGTTATCAAAAATATTGTAGCTGTGAATTTTACATACAAATCATTATTTGAACCTTGATTTTGCTGAGTAAATATCTAGGAAAAGAACTGCTATATGGCTAATTTATTTTTAATTTTAAAGAAATTTCCAAACTGTTTTCCAAAATTGGTATACTTGCTTGAATTTCTAACAGTAACATGTAAGATTTCCAAGTGCTCACTGCTTTCTATCATTTGATACTATGAACCTTTTGCACTGTTCTTATATAAAGACAAAGAATAGTTCATGTATTTTTAAATCATTTTGTCTTTTTTTTTTGAAGACACAGCGGCTCTGAACTCATATTTTGTAGCCCAGCGTGGCCTCAAGTTCACTGCAATCCTCTTGCATAAGCCTCCCAAATGCTAGGGTTACAGGCATGCACCACCACAACTAGCCTGTATTTTTAATTTGTATTTCACTGGCAAGTGAGAATTTTTCCATGTGCTTATTATGTATACATCTTTGGTAGAAGTTTGTTCAAATATCTTGCCTATTTTTATAGTTATGTTGTCTTTTATTATTTTTATTATTTTATGAAATAAAAAAATCTCTGTCCTATGCTTAAGTCTATACACCGATATATATTTCAGATTTCAAATACCAGTATTTTTTTATGAAGTTCATTTTATACATTTTTAATTGTGTCATTCACATTTTGGGACTTATCTAGGAAATTTATCTTTGCGTGTGTGTGTATGTGTATGTGTGAGAAGTTGAAGCAGTTTCTTAAAACATTTGCTTTTGTTAGCTATTGTATTCCTACTAAAGTGTTATAAGGATGACTAATTTCAAACATCTGTTAAATAAAATTAATATAGATACTGAAAATTCAGGATCAACTTTTTTAGGAGGTATATAATAAAATGCATTAATTTTTTGTTTCCTCTAATGAAAATCACTATTTTTAAAAACTGTACACATCTCACACATATACACAATATTAAAGATATACATGGAATCTGATCAAAATGATTTTTATAATTTTCAAAAAGTGGAAGACACTATCCTTTCTTTTTCCCCATTCTATAATACAGGATTGATGGTGCTGGCCCACCTTGGACAATGAGGACAAGAAAACATGCTAGAGACAAAAAGACTAGTATGATAAAATAAATATCAGTTTTAAACCCCACAAATCCCCATACTTTGTTTGCCCTAAGCAAACAAAATCACTTTTTAATTTGGGTCTTTGTTATAGTAGCTATGCCTATATTTTATCTAATAAACTAGCATCCCAAGAAATGTATTGAAATAAAATACTGTATAGCACTTAATGTGAATGAAGACACAGAACAGGCACTTTAGTATTACTATACCACATATTTAAATAGTTTGATGGTCATTTTCTTTAATATACATTATTTGGCAATATAGTTTTGTGGGTTTTAATTTTATTTATTTATTTACTTTTGGTCTTTCTGAGGCAGGATCTTGCTACACAGTTAGCAAGATTCAGGCTAGTCTTGAACTGGTACCTATCCTCCTGCCTCAGCCACCTGAGTGCTAGGATTACAGTCATGCACCAGCAGGCCCAACCTGACAATACAATTGTAAGGAAAAAATGGATGTTCTTACCATGGGAAGGTATTCATTCGTAGCCTGTTGTTATAAATCAGAATTCCTCCTGACATCACTCCAATTGTAATTTCATTGTTACTTTGATCCTTAAAGAAAGAAAGAAAGAAAGAAAGAAAGAAAGAAAGAAAGAAAGAAGCAAACAATGGGCTTTAACTGTTTGAGATGTATTTTTACAACACAATTAGTTTAGCATAATATGACTTTTTCAAAGATTGTCCATAATCCCATCATAATTAAAAATCCAAATAGTAATTGCTACCTCATAAAAATACATAAATGACAAATTTCAGATTCATTACTCTAAAGTAAAAATAATCTCAGGGTTTCTCATAAATTAAGTCTGGGACTGATTCTTCAGTGAAGGAGAACCTACAATAAGCCAGTATTTCATGAAAAGTCCTGTAAGTAATAGTGCATTACTACAAACATCACTGGGAATACCAAATAAAGAATAATTTCTGGATAATTCTGAGGATGCCAGAAAAGAAAAAATTTGAGCTGTTGCCTGAGAAAAATGAGTATACTTATACTATTCTGGCCCAATTTGAGTTGACTGATCTGCACTGTTTAGAAAATGAATACAATGAAAATACTTTTCACAGATGTTAACCAAGCGTGGAACCATTTTGATTTTTCACTTTGAATAGTACTTTTGGCAATGAATATAATAAGCTTTTAGCTCCTCCTATTCAGTTGTTTAGAAGATAGAATTACTTCATATACAAACAAGACTTTAGGGTTATGTACCCAGAACAAACCTTTTAAATTGTATTTTGGTGGTTTTTTTTGAAACTATATTTTCAGTAATTTCTATTAAAAGTAAATCTTAATCTGTTAGATGGGATCAAACATTTATGGGATCAAACAAACAAATAAAATATTAACTTGGTTGTTCTTTTTTGTTTGGCAATAACCACTACTACTGTATACTATTGGTCTTAAATTTCTTTTTAAAGGACATTAATTAGAATTTTGATCAAAATGGTAGGCTAAGCCTAAAAGATAAAAAGACTAACTGTATGCTCTAATTAACCCTTTTGCCCCAAACTTATCAGAGAAGATACATGAAGAGAGAAACTATATAATAATTTCTAACACTTTAAATTATTTTATCACTAAATCAGACATTTTGAATAATCCTTAAAGACATTAAAAGGATAAGAGTAAGTTTAAAATCTATAGCAATAACGGTTCAAAGAAATAAAGAGGTCCTTCAAATTACTGTCAGGATGCTCAAGCAGGGAACAACTAACATAATTAGCTCCTATCAGTCCCACCACTTCACCTCAAGTACACTGGGCTAGGACACAGAAATGCTAGTAGACCACCAAAAATGCCAATTGTGGGCACAAGGGATAGAGCATTCAAAATGAGTGACTTGCAAAAGAAAAAGATGGTGTCTTAGTCACTTTGCTCATCACAAAGTACCAGGCATCCACAATCTAAAGGAATAAAACTTTATTCTGGATCATGGTTTATTAAGTTTTAGTTCTTATATGGTTAGTCATTTCCAGGGAGAAGCGGCATGGTAGAAGCGCCTGGACAGAAGAGAGTTGCTCACTTTATGATAGATACGAAGTAGAAAGAAAGGAAGAGCAATGGAAAGACAGAGATAAACCTTTCCAGATCAATCTCCCTCTGACCAGTCTCTTCCAACCAGACTCTTACAGCAAGCCAGCTGGAGCTGACCCTTTATCTCAGACCATCCATAAGTCCTGCCTCTGAATGTGTGAGGGTTTGAGGAGTTTGAGGGGACATTCAGATATAAACCATAATACATAAGACATGAATTTGAAACATGAAAAAGACAACTTACTATGGCTATCATGTTTCTGGCTATATATTCCTTCCTTCCTATGCCATTATCAATGGGAAGCTGAAGTCAGAAGGAACAACATGGACAGCCAAGTGAACTAGGAATCACAAACACAAAGAACTACATAACTGAGAATTACCACCCATTTAAGGAGAACTAATCCCATTAAAGAGATGCCTAAAACTCAATACAAGAGACATTAATCAAGATGCCAACTTAGGAGAAAGAGAGGTTTTTCTAAAAAAAAAGAAACCTGTTCAAACGATGTAGGAGCCCAGCTTGGAAATCAATTATCTACACTGACACTGCAGTTCATAAAGACACTGCGCCCAAATTGGCAAGAGAAAAAGTATTAAGCCTATCACAGAAACAAATGTTAGCAATCCCAATGTTTAGAAAAACGAACTTTAACCACTTTAATTTAAAAATCATATTTGTGTTTCTTTATATCAAGTATTACTAGTATTATACCATATATTGACTTGCTTAATTTTTTTCTCTTCTTCACTATATTTAAGTAATAATGAGTAAGTCTGTTTTGTCAATTGTTGAGTTGCTAGGCATACAATACTAAGGATTCACTTGTAGAATGAATAGTTTATGATGTCTTAGCGGTTCAGCATGGCAACAAAAAGCATTTAAACCATTCCATTTCATTTTATCTCCTCCTAGAAAACTGCTAGTTTAGTGAACCATTATTAGTTTTGTGTTTTGTGCTCCATAATTCCATGTTTTGTTAATCTTTGTTTTCATACATTTTCACATTTCTCTAAGCAAATCAAACTGAAGTGAAATCTTGAATACATCAATCCTATCTGTGAAAACTTCATTAGCCCACATCTATATGCGTTGCTCATACTTTTTTATCCCTTATACCACTTACTGTAACCCTTAATTGCTATCATACTAGGATAATTACTGAGATTGTGTATTTTCAGAGCTTTATATATTATACTGGTAAGTGAACAGTTACGTTTGTTTTTTAAATTTGATTTAAAGACAGACTAAACAAAACAGAAAATGGGTAGAAATAATACATACTTTCAAAGAAAAAATAAACAGTAAGCAATCACTAGTTGATGATTACAGATTGTCTTCTTACAAACAGTTATTCAAGATACTAAAATGGAGCATATAAAGTGGGGATTTAAACAGTGAGACTGCAACCAGTTCTGTTGAACTATCCAACAAAAACTTAGAAATATGGTTATCAATCCTATACACTTAAACATACATGTAGTTATCCATATCTTCAATTATGGTGAGATTGAATAAACCCAAGCAGGCTAATATCATTCTGAACAAAGAATAATACTATTGCTGGGTTTCACATTATGACACTCCGGGATCAGCACTGGGTATTTTAGTGTCTCTTTTTCTTCAAAGTATTTGTTTATTTCATCATGTGTCATAAGATCAGTTCTTATAAACTGTTTATAAATTCTACACATGCATGAGTGTTAACATGTATCTCTATCCTTTCTATATTAGAGGGAGAAACAAAACAAAGCAAGACAAAACAAAACCTATTACTATAAACATATGAAATGAAAAAAAAACATATAATACCGCTGAACAAAGAGTTCTACCATGGTTCATGTGTTGTCTCATTATCTCCAATAGAACTGGCTATATCATCAGACATAGTATAATTGAATATATCAGTACATAACAGTAGTAATAAAAACACAATTTTGTATATAGTATAGAACTTCAAAAACTGGCAGTTATCAAAAGAGTATGTGTATCGTAGTCTTGTCTTCTTCAGTGTAGTTGCCTATACTCTCAGACTTCATATTATCAATCATATCAATTTTGAATAAAATCGTCTCTGCCTCATTTCTGTTATGCTCTTTTGGCCATCAGTTGTCTGCTTATCTTCTTCATTCTGTTTTCTGCTCCATTCATTGAGGCCTCTCTGCGACTGTTCCTGGAACCCTACTACTTTTTCTCTCTCTCTAGCATGCCCTGAAGTATTCTCTGCAGAGTTGGATAGGTGGTTGCGAGTTTCCCAAGTTCTTCTTTGTCTCGGAAGCATATTATTTCTCCATTAATTTCTAGAGACAGTTTAGCAAGGTATATCAATCTGGGCTGGAGGTTATTTTCTTTCAGGGCTTGGAATATTTTGCTCCATGCTCTTCTTGACTTGATGATTTGTGTTGAGAAGTCTGCCATTATTCTGATGGGCGTTCCTTTATAGGTGATCTGTTTCTTGTCTCTAACAGCTTTTAATATTCTGTTCTTATAATGAACTTCTGGGATCTTGATTATTATATGCCTGGGTGTAGCTATGTTTTGGTTGTAGGTAGCTGGAGTGCTGTATGCCTCATATATCAGAATATCATTTCCTTTTCCTATGTTTGGAAAGTATTCCTTAATTATTTCTGTGAATAACCTTTGTAGTTCCTTTGTTTGTACTTCTGCTTCTTCATTCATTCTTTATTTTGAAGTTATAGATCCTCTTGTCGTCTTTTAGCCTTTGCATTGTTATTGCTTGTTTCCTTGTTATTTTTAGAAAGTTTTCTCTTTCATAATCCCACACTGTAAAATTGTCCTCCAGTTTGGATAATCTATCCTTAGTTTCTTTCAAGCTGATTTGCCATCTTTCCAAAGAGTTTTTAATTTCCTAGTAATCTCTTTGAATCTGCTTCATGTATTCTATATTTTTTATATTCTTCATCAAATGGTTCTCTCCTTTGTTTAAGTTCCTCCCTTCTTCCATCTATGTCTGCTTGAGGGATGCTTAGTATCTCTTTTATTAATCTTCTTATATCTTGCTTTACTTGCCTAAATAATTCACTTTTGAACTCATCTATGAGGTCCCAAATATATCTCTTTATAACCAGTGGTGCCGTGTCTGATATTGCATGTTAGCTGTTCTCATTCTTGTTTGTATTTACCTGTCCTGGGTCAATGTTCTCAGGGTTGGGATCTGGGGACTTTTTGTTGTTGCTTCCTCTTCCTAACTTTTTTGCTTCTTCCAGAATGCCCCAATTTATTTCTTTGTTGGTTACAATTCTTCTGAAGCACACTGGTTAGATGACCCTTCTCATTGCCATGTGCTAGTGAGTTCCAGATAGGGACAGTGTACGCTGGCCCCTCCCTTCTGGATCAGTGAAGCTGCTGTGGCCTGCACTGTATTATTTTGTGCCACCTCCCCTCCGGGTCAGTCAAACTTCTAAGGCTTCACTGGGTTAGTGGTGTTAGTGTGTGGCACTGCTGTAGGGACTTGATTTCAGGTAACCTATTAGGTCTCAGCCAGGTCACATG